CGAAACAGATAAACATTTGTTTGCTTCCAGCAGCCAATTGAGATTTTTTTGTTTGTTTTTGTACCAACCTTCAACTTCGTTCCGTTCATCGCTGGGCGTTTCGGACGCTTCCTCACCTGATGCCAGGTCATCGACAATGGAGAAATTAATAACATTTTCATCGTCGTCGCAGCTGTATTTTTAGATCCATCATCTTTTGTTTCCAACACAGCGGGAGCTGAGCATGTCGATGCACTTTCACCTCTGACGAATGACTCATTTGTATTGCGGTGAAAAAAGTCATATAAAGTGGTTTGCCAATGGTTCATAATAGATATGTTCAATTCTCGCAGTCTCTTATTTTTTCTTTTCTGATAACCGCTCAATTCCTTTCGCTTGTTGTTTGTCGCCATATTTTTATAATGTACAAATTTATAAAAATTATCATTTTATATTTAAATAAAAATCGTGAAACATTGGTGACATGTGCCCCCAATACGTAATGTCAGCGGAAAAACATGGGTTCATGTACTTTGTGTTCTGCACGTGTATAATTTGAAACAAAACCATTACTGCCGAATATAAATGCTGTCAAGAAATTGAAAGTTTATAGACTAGCGTTTTAATAGCTTGTTTAAGGTAAATAATTTTATATTCTTGATGCTAAAATGTAAAGACTGAAGCTGCGGGGGCCCACACAGTGGTGGCCCAATACCCTGTGAGCGGTGGGCCACTTGAGGAGCCTGGTGGCCAAATGGCCCACCAGTCTATTACTTAAAATATGCCTTGAGTCCCTCCAACTGAGCGACTATATATCTCGGTTTATACAGTTATCAGTTTGTTTACATACCTTAGCCATTGATACCGAACTGCTGTTACTCACATTAGTTACCTCATCACATTCGAATGCATTCACTAAGCTCGTCAATTTTCGTTTTAAGTATTGTTCATTATCAGCCAGAATCCTAAGCTTTTTTGAATGACCGTGCCATTTTATATTAAATTCAGAATTTGTATAAGTCATATTTATACGGAGCACTTAAACATACGTCCTTTCACGTTCACGTTCACGTCCGCTCCGTAGACCCGCAGTTTTCTCACAAAGTGCGATTTTATCTTCAATAATGGACAACTTGCATGTTAGACTAAATTTTAATCTAAGTAGGAAGAAGGGAAAATCAAACACCACAGCTAAAAAGAACTTAATGAAATCAGTAAAATTGCTAAGTTTGGTTACGAAATGTTGGAAAATATAGAAAATATAGCCTTGCGATATTTGTAAATTTTCAATATATTTGTATTACGTGCGAAAATTGTTACCATTTTCGGCTCAAAAATGGTAACAATTTCCGCACGTAATACAAACGTACTGAAAAATATCAATTATACTGATTTTGATAAGTTCTTTACGGGAGTACTAGTTTTCTTTTTTTCGCCCAAATCAAAAATTAATCTAACATGCAAGTTGTCTATTTCACGACAATTTTTTTGATTGTTCAACAACACGTTTCGAACTTTCGCGCTTTTTATACGCCGCTGTTCGAATGTCGATAACTTTAAAACTAGGAAGTAAAACTCAAATCCCAGACGTCAATTTTTAGAAAATATCTTATTTTAACTTGTCATTTAATTTAATTTAAATTCAATAAAAAATTTAAGACCCTAAATGTTCTGTTCACCGGAAGTAGTAACCAATTACGCATTCTGATTGGCTTAGTGCGAAAATGTCAACAAATGCATTGATTCGGGTAAAGGACGAAATTCCTCCTTGTTTTACAGAGTTGATACTGGTATTTTTCATGTAAACCTTTATACAGGGTGTATAAAAAAAAAACTGAACAGATTTGAAATCGCTCTCAATTTCGCAAAACACCTATTTGTATCCCGTTTTTTATATATATTTATAGATTCTTTGGGCACTTATAATGTAGAATAATGAAAAAAATTTCTCAAACTCAAATTTGGTGAACCAGGGGGGTGTGTCTTTTCCAACAAACTAAAAATGGCTTGCGCACAAAATTTAAAAGCTTTAATCATATTTTGAGTTAATTGATGGAAACTCTGTTTGGTTTTTAATTACTGTACAAAATTTCAGACAATTTGGTTTAGTTTAAGCCGTTTAACTATTCATTTTATTCTAAAAAATTTTGCATGCTTAATTAATGCATTTACCTAATTTGCATGTTGCTAACATATGCAAATAGGCAAATGCATTAATTAAGCATGCAAATAGCTGATTTTTAGGAAAAATGTAACTTTGCGTGAATAGTTAAACGGCTTAAACTAAACCAAATTGTCTGAAATTTTGTACAGTAATTAAAAACCCGACCAATTTTCCATCTGTTAACTCAAAATATGATTACAGCTTTTAAATTTTGTGCGCAAGCCATTTTTATTTTGTTGGAAAAGACACACCCACCCTGGTTAACAATATTTGAGCTCAAGAATTTTTTTTCGTTATTCTACATTCTAAGCACCAAAGAAGCTATATCTATAAAAAACTGGATACAAATCGGTGTTTTGCGAAATTGAGAGCAATTTCAAATCTGTTCAGTTTTTTTATACACCCTGTATAAGGATAAATATTAGAGAATGAGTTCAACAAAATCTATGTTTGTATGAGAAACGAGCCATCCTGGTTAGTTGAGATGTTGTCACCTTGGGCTAGGTGGGATCTCAGTCAAGTGAGATAAAAGTTTCCATGTGAAGGCTTTATATTCTATTGAGCGGCACAGTTGAAAAATAAAAACAAAAGAGTAAATATTAATAGACCTAAACCGACATGCAGGTGCAGTTTTTTATAATTGAAAACAGGATATCGAAGAAGCCATATGTTTACAGAATGCAGCCCAACCGAGGCGACATATTTGGTGGGGTAAAAACAGTCATATGAAGACCGAAAATTCGCATTCATGAGAGGGATGATTATGAGCCTCAAGTTCATGCTATTTTTTCATTTGTATTCAAACAATTTCGGGGGCATTTTCTTGATGAGCTTTATATAACAGACAGGTATTTCATGACTAAAATGATGTATCTCTTTGAAACCAGGAATTTTCAGGCAACTCTGACAGAAATAGTGTTGTGGGTCAAGAACTTTCGCCCGTTCTTGTTGCGAGATTCATCAGAATCCAACCAAGGACTTGGCACAGTCACATCTCCTTGAGAGCTGAGGTTCACGGTTGTGTTGAAGGTAAGACGCGGAAAATATACACATTCTAACATTTTAAAAACTCCTTGGCAGGATTGGAGTTAAGTTACTATTAGCCTGTGTGTAGTCCCAGACTAAGTTACTATCGAAACAACTAAAGTAGTAAACGGTCCCTCGAGATTTGCACGCGGGGGATTGATTTTATCTGATAAACCTTTTAGGGTAGCTCGTGACCGGTTTTGAACCTCAGTAGCTCTGTTCATGAACTCAGGAGTAGATTGCTTAAACAACATTTTGATTAGTGTGAACAGTGAATCCGGAGTTCTACGAAGCACTTTGAATACCACAGCATGTTTTAGAACTATCAAATTAGACTGTACGTTTAGCCGTTTACACCACACCGGAGAGGTTTGAAAACAGCGCAGAAGAGTGAAACTGTTTTTGAAAACATCATCTTTGCCGTAACAACTTAACCATGGTATATAAACGGAGCGAGATGAAAACGGAGCTCTTGGTGGCTTCGAGTGAACACAAACGCTGTTAATTTTGTTCCGCTTGCAAACCAAGCCTCTCGGGTCTCGAAACAGTAAATTCGAATGCTTTTCGTTTAAATTTCTTTGCTCTATTTGAAATATTTTGGGTTTACATTAGTGCTAATTTAATTTCTAGAAAAACTGCACGTATAAAGGCGTAGTTATTTCGCTCCGGTAGAGTGTGAACGTAGTCTAAGGTATAATAATTGATGCAAATCTTACACCTTAATGTTCTTGATTATAATTATAACAATACCTCTTTTTAAAAAACTGGAATATTTGCTTCGTTAAATGTAGGTGCTTCGTTCTCCGTTGCTTGATTCATATCAAGTGTGTTTGCCGTATCGAAATTTGTGCTTTGTTCCTCAAAATTTGTGCTTTACGTGTAATTATATAATAATGTAAACTTTATTTATCGATTATTAAGACGCAATGCACATGCATGAGAGGAGTTTTCCCGGCAATTTTCAATCGTCTTATATTTGTCATTTTTGCATTGAAAGATGCTACTCAAAAGCTAAAGCCCTTAATTTCTATTACTGCCTAGTTACTTTGCATTTAATGTCGAGTGCACAAGAGCGCGCTAAATTTGAACTATTTGTTTTTGATAGATCCTGTATATTTAACAATAATACCATGAGCCCGATTCGTACAGTATATGAGCTGAGAGCGAATGGTATACGACGAGAGCGAATGGTATAATTGTTTTATAATATAGTCTAATAGCCATTAACTGAAGCAATAATTAATTATCCTCTGTTACAATGTCTTGACAATTTGTTCGGCCAAAAACCGCTTGGCATTGAAAATTTGAAATACTTTTGTTTTACAACTTGACGACGAAGTGATATCTCACAGAAAAGCTCAGATATATTATACAGATGTTTTGTAGTATAGTAAGTGCTTGTTGACTGCAAATTCATTTGTCTTTCGTTGCAAACTTTTCTGAACAATTTATATTCTCAATGAACATGTTTTTTCGCTGTTGTTTCGGTATTATTATTCTTTATAAAAACTTGTATTTAAACTAGTTTCTATATGTAATAAATGTATTTTGCTAACCTATAAAACTTTTTTGAGAGTTTTTCCTTGTACTATTATATTTCTCAAAGCGAATATTTTCCTTTTTCTGCTTCGCAAAACTCGTGTAGTTTTTGGACCGCCATCTTGTTTTTCGATACTCGCCGTATATGAGCTGATATACGGCGAGTAATTCAACCAATCAGATTGCAGAACAGCTCATATACGGTGAGTGACTACATATTATAAAAACCTAATATATACGGTCTACTTAATATATGGTTAAATTCATATATTTAGGTTCATTCGGCGAATCAATGATACTGGCTAATGAACCTGTCGAATTGGATAATAAACTGTCAGAATGGTTGCCTGGAACGGGAACATGGAGAATATGTTGGCGTGGCACCGAACATGGTTTTGCAGCTCCGACATTTCACGAGAAATGCAACGAGAAAAAACCAAGTTTAGTGATCGTTAAAGTTGTGACGGGTGCTAAAAGTTTGATCTTTGGTGGCTATTGTACTGAAACATGGGCTGGAGGTAAGTTTGAATATATTGCAAGGCATTTTTTAATACCATGGACGAGTGGCATTTTCCGGCCCCACTGGGCCCCTTTCTCTGCCCCAGCACTGAATAAAAAATGGCCTATATATTGCCTCAAAGCCAGGACCCTAGGACATGTATTGAGTAAACGAGTTTAACATTGAAAAGAAGGTTAAAAACACATTTTTTGTTGAGCATACTTAAACGTGATGTAAAGCCCGTTCTGCGCATACTTTCTGCGCAGGCCTACATGTTGTTCATATTTCGTACCTTCCAAACTTTCGGCTTGAATTGAATCTCTTGTCTGTATATTAATTACAAGCATCGCGAACCAGAAGAGTGTTAAAAATTCAGTATAATATATATCTAATCATATTTTACAACTGTAGCACCGAGTTCAATATGTAAACAAATTAAAGCGTTTGATTACATTACGGACTTTACTGTAGTATTATGTAACATACTTAATTATGCATGCATAACACTCTTGTATACAAATCTCTAGATCGTTATTAGTATTAAAAAGTATTAAAAAGTTCGAAGTATTAAAAAGTTCGACTAACACTATATGGTGGAGGCGGTGGGATACGACGATTCGAAATATTTAGTACGCTATTAACAGAGCTCAACGAGAAAGAAGATATAACTCAAGTAAACACTCTGATTTATACGATGGGCGATCAAGCGGAAGATATTCTGAATTCGTTTAAGTTGAATGCAACTCAGCTCAAAGATTACAAGACATTTAAAGAGAAATTCGACTCGTACTTTGTTGTCAGAAGAAACGTAATATATGAGCGTGCTAAGTTCAATAGGAAAGCCACCTCGTACCCAGGCGCTTTGGTTTGTTTACGTCATTAGCGCACGGGGACGGCACGCGAGGGAGAAAGAATTCACATTCAAAATGGCGGGTAAGTGTTCTGCAAGTGTTCTGTATTATTTATATTATTATTGAAATGACATTGTTCACAGGAAAATACGGGTTCGTACATTGCCATTACTCTTTAGAATGCAATATTTAACTTAAACTTTTAATTGTTTGCCTTGTTCATACTCTTTTTATAGCATTAACTATGCAGTCATTACAGTGTCATGATTTTGCCGTTTTTGTTTTTGAGATATTTGTGGTTGAGATACATTTTTTATTTATTTGTCAAGATTTGTCAAGTATAACTTAGAGCCATATGGTTCGAACATAGCCATATATATGTTTTGTTTATATTTTCATTTTGACCTTATATTTTCATTTTGAGCTTGGTGTTGTCGTGCGGGATATATCGCTTTTTATTACTCGCCAATTCATGCTTTGTTTGCAAATCACTGGTTATTTTGACCCTGGATATATTTCTCGTCATTTTAATCATTCTCATCATGTTTTAAATCCAGTATAATGAACGTAAACGACTACTACACTCTACACTCTACAGAAGGACACGAACATCTATTGTTGTGACTGTTTACAAATATGAACTGTTTGCCGCCGCCTGGGCCGCCGCGTTCTTCGAGCCTCTTGAGCTATATTCTCATGACTTTCATCATATTGCAGTGAAATTTGTGTGACATATTCAATCCATAAAGCGACTGAAACAACGAAGGCTACGTAGATTACTCCAAAACTGTTTGATAATATATATATATATACACACAGAGTTTTGAGTTTACACCGACTATGTGCAGTTTAAGTAAGCACAATATTCGCCCAAATTTACATTCAACAGTTATTATATTGAAAGATTAATCAACGTCATACAGTTTTCAATCAAAATTGGAATTTCAACCCGCCAAAAATCCACTTGATCGAGTCCGCTCCAAAAATCGATATCCGCTCCAGAAATCGACACGGATTGTGCCAGGCACCTCACCACGAAATCAATCAAATTAATCCACGCGGACCACCATAGAACAACACATAGCGCCTGGGTAATGGCTGATAGGAGAGTACAAAACGAACACGGATCAGTCGAAGAATTCATAACCTCAGTATACATGTACGTGTTGGCTGAACATTGTGAATATGGAGATTTGCACGAGCAAATGATCCGTGACCGCATTGTTGTTGGCTTAATTTAATCGGATGCACATGTATCGCTAAAGCTTCAAATTGACCCTGATCTAACGTTAAAGAAAGCACAAGATATTGTTCGAGAAACTGACGCCGTCAAGAAGCAGCAAAGTGAACTGAGAAACAAAGCTGATTAGCCAGTCAATGGCGTAGATTCTATTCGTTCCGCAAAGCACAAGAAATCGTGGCAAGAAGAGAACAACAAAGCTACAGGAAAATCAAACAAGAAAGATTTCCCTGGTAAACAAAGCTGTTTTCGATGTGGAAAAAACCCATCCCATATCAGAGAAAAATGTCCTGCTAGAAATTCCACGTGTAACAAGTGTTCTAAAGTTGGACATTCGGCTAAAGTCTGCAGAACTAAAGTGGTCGCCGAGGTGGTCAAAGAAAACAGTGATAATGATGCAAATTAGGAATCCCTATCATCCCAAAACAATGCTCAGTGGAAAGCGAATCTAAAATTGGATGGACAAGAAGTTCAATTCAAGTTGCAGACTGGAGCTGATGAAACTTGTATTCCACTCCTCACGTACGAAAGCAAGAAAAGTAAGTTTCCTGCTCTGAAAAAGTCAAAGAAGAAGCTACAATCTTGTGATGGAAAGAAATTAGGTATCTATAGAAAATTCGCTGCAACAATAGAAGCTGATGAGAAAATAACAGTACAAGATGTGTATGTTATCAAAAGTTTATAATTACATCAAGTCTTTTAATTGGGTGGGCCAGCTATACGTGCTCTGAATCTACTCCAGAAAGCAAAGTTTGTCGAGACAGTAAAGACCTGCAGCGACGAAGCTGAGCCTAACAAAAAGTGGAAACGTCAGTCTCCAAAGCTATTCAAAAGAATCAAGAATGAATACACAATCAAATTGAAATCAGATGCTAAACTCCATATTGTTTACACGCCAAGAAAGATAGCACATCCTCGGTTACCTAAAGTTAAAAATGAAGTGGACAGCTGGATGGAGAAAATGGGTGTCATCTCGAAAATTGGAACGCCCACAGAATGGTGCTCTCATATGGTAGTGGTACCAAAATCAAATGGTTACATCAGAATTTGCCTTGACCCGTCCAAGTTAAATGAAAGCATTCTACGACAAGCGCACCACCTACCTAGTGTCGATTATACATTGGCAATGTTAGCTGGATCGACAGTGTTCTCGAAGCTTGATTGTAACTCTGGTTTTTGGCAAATCCCATTATCAGAAGAATCTGCTCCCATAACTACATTCATAACCCAATGGGGAAGATATCATTTCAATGTACTACCTTTTGGAATAACACCAGCGTCAGAACATTTTCCAAAACAGCTGGAGATGATCTTGAAAGATTGTGAAGGGGTATGTATCGAGATTGATGATATTCCTGTTCATGGAGAGGATACTAAGGAGTATGATGAAAGATTAAAGAAAGTTCTTCAAAAGCTCGAAGAAGAGAATGTTACGTTGAATGGCGACAAGTGTGAATTCTCAAAACCTGAACTTTACTATCCGGGTCATGTGATTAACGCTACAGGCATCAATGCGGATCCAGAAAAAGTTCGTGCCATCACAGAGATGTCATCGCCAAACAGCACCCAAGAGGCGAGGTGATTCTTAGGAATGTGCAACAAGCTCACCAAGTTCTCATCAAGATTAGCCGATAAGTCAAAACCTATCCGAGATTTATTGAGTGAAAAAGCTCACTGGAACTTGGGCATCCAGCAAGAAGGGGCCTCATACGATCCAAAATGGCCTTATACGATCCAAAATCGGAGACAAAGATTCGCACAGATGCATCTTCATATGGTTTGGGTCCAATTTTGATGCAAAGACAAAGTAATCATCAATGGCAACCAGCCGCGTATGCTTCTAGAGCATTGTCACCAACAGAACAAAGATACGCATAAATTGAAAAAGAAGCACTGGGAATTATGTGGGGATGTGAGAAGTTTTCTGAGTACATTTCTGGCATGAAGTTTCATATAGAAACAGATTACAAGCCATTGGTTCGAGTATTTACGCAGAAGAATCTCAACGATATGTCTCCAAGGATACAAAGATTCCTGATTCCTCTCTTACGAGCAAGGAAAAGATTTGGTGTGTGCTGACACTTTGTCTCGTTCTCCATTAATGGATAAAGGAGATGAAGATATACTCACTGGAGAGGCAAATGGAATTGTTGATCAAGTATTGAAAGAGTTACCATGCACAGAAGATAGATTAGATGAGTTTAGAATACGTCTCAAGCAAGATGTAGTATGTGAACAAGTTATGAAGTACTGCACTTATAGATTGCCAGACAAGAATCATGTCAATGGCGCTATGAAACCCTATTGGCAACATGTAGATGATTTAGCGATTCAAGACAGTCTCCTATACTCCATGGAAAAAGATTAGTGATCCCTTCATCAATGAGATTGGACATACTTAGTAAAATACATTCAGGACATCTCGGGATAACCAAGTGCCGAGAAAGAGCAAGAACGTTGGTGTGGTGGCCTGGTATGAGCAAACAAATTGATTTGTATGGGCAAACAAAGTCTTTTGGCTTTTTATTTGTTTCGAAGACTTGTATATTTCATTAAAGAATATCTCGCCACTCCTTGACGAGTAGCTGTTAAATACTGCCATTTTATGGGTAGTCACGTGACCGGCCCAGACCAGGGCTTTCTCGTCTCTCCCCTCGTCCTCATACGAAAGCTCTGGAAACGAGGTTGAAAGAAACCATGCAGGGACCTCGCCACAGGGGGGCGTTGGGGAGGTGTGACACCCCAATAATTTGTAAGCGCAAAGTGTTGGTCAAAATGGAAAATATTTTATCAAAATAGTTGGTTACTTTTTGAACGCGAATTAGAAAAGATAAAAGTGCGAATGTATTGAAAACCAAATAATAGCACGAATCACCGTAAAAAACTAAGAATATAATGTTTGAAAAAATTTTCATTCTTGGACGTCCCCACCCCCCGAATCCTTTATTGTCCTTGGTTTTGCCGTATTTCCTTACTGATCAACGCCGTTTGATAATTGTAAAATAATCGAAAACTGTTTATTCAAAATCTTCGATCCCGAAATATTTCATTATTCAGTTCTGGCGAATGATGTAATCATATGTGACAAAGCATTATTGTCTTTATTCTTGACAGCTGGTTATACATCTGCTCCAGGATCATTTATGTTTTCTCTTCGTAATAATGACGACCTTCCGCCTTTCAAGGCACCGCTGAAAGATGAAAATAGCGGGAATGCAATTTACCGTGCAAATTGGCTTGGACCAATGTTTGGTGGGGGTCATGACTTGTATATTGCCGACCATGCGGTATCAAATCAGCTGTCCTACACAAATTTTGGTCATACCTACCAACCTCCATCTGGGGAAACCAACACAACATCCCTGCTTGCAGGGAGCTACAATTTTACTGCATCAGAAATCGAAGTATTATATTAAATTGAAACTGCTCATGGTTATACTTCAAGGTAAACAATTTTGACAAACAAGTAACGATATGCTGTAAATGATCTAATGAATGCATGTACCCTCTTATAAATGCCTCACCTCAACACATTGATTCAAATGCCGGCGAGCATTTTGTTCAAAAGCAAGACGTAAAATGTAATGGCAGCATCCCAATAGAAACATATTATTTTTCGGTTAAAACGTATAAATTGTTAAATATTATTATTGTATCAGGATCGAAATGTAACGATTTAAAATTTACGTATTGCTTTTATTCCACATATTGGGTTTTTCAAGATTTTTTTTTAAATTTTCGGCTGGTTCTGGCTTTTGAACGCACGTTTAACCTTGGACTTTTGTTTACCCTGTTTGCAAAATGCATGCCTGCAGCAATAAACAGCAGGAAAGCGTTGTCTAACAGGCATTATTTTTTCTGTATGTAATATGCCTTGTTATGCAATAAACGCCTCCTCCTACAGTATGAAAGGCTCCAGGAGTTTATTAGATCCTTTACAATATATATACTGGCTAACCATTTTCCCCCGAGCCGACGACGCGAAGCGCCGTGCGAGGGTATTAATTCCGCACGGCTGATTATACCCGGGTATGTGAGAAAACATAGCGATCGAAGTACAAAGTTGTCTTCCATTTTGTTTATGTTATTGATGGTTTTCGACGTTATGCGCATGCGCGAGTACAAGCTCTGTCTAAGTAATTGAAAGGACGAATTTTGCTGTTTTGCCGCAATTTTTTTCTTTTAAATTTCGTTAAAAATTTTAACTAGAAATAAACCTGCAGTTTCATGAATTAGTGCCTGTTCAACCGTTAAACAAAGTTTGTATTAAATAATTGTTTTGATGTTGATATTTTTAATGATTTAATCGTTGTTGTGCCGGTTTGGGTAAGTGTAAACACTTCAGTAGTAAAATTCCATGCCGTATTTGCTTTGTGAAATTCTTAAGCCATTAATTCGATAATTCACAATAAATAATGAGTTTTAATGGAAGCTGGTATACATGAAATTGCAGCGAATGTGATCGTTTAATAAACTAGCACTTAAACTTGTGTTTTTGTGTTTGTTTATAATGGTCTTAATACTTTATTCATGGAGTTTTTATATTTCATCCGTTAAGAAAGGCGAGGGGTTGCTGCATGCATGTATTTTCTAGTAGTATAGTAAGCTTTCCATTATATACCTCATATCCAGGCGCTTTATGATTGGGAACATGCATGACGACTATGGTGAAGGCGAGCCATATTTAACGAAAACCCTGCTCTAACTTAATTAACGGAAAGCACAGCCCGTTTAAATGTTGTTTGAAAATGCAATTTTATTTCTCGCTAGAACAAAATTATTAAACCAATTTTCGCTTAAACGAAGCAGGCTACGGTTCTGCTTTTTTTCAAGACTCAGGACTTTCATCAAAATTTTTGTTCTATATTAATTTTGGATTATTTTACGTTTCGTTTAAGTAATATACACATGCAGCATTCGCTTCCGTGTTGTATGAGATAGTACAAACTCAAGGCGGAAGTGGGTGGTTGTACTGTTCACCTGGGTAAGACCAGCTTTAATTAGCTGAATGGGTCTCACAGTTTAAATAAAGATTATTATTATTTTTATTATTGTTGTATGTCTGCTACAGCACGGACAAAGATGCTGTACATAGCTTGTGAAGGTAAGGATTTTGACTGTTGTGTATTATGAAATTATTCGAAAAGTTAAGAAACCGACGAAAAGCTTGATGCAATTCAGGAGAATTTTGAATTTGTGGTACAACACCTCATTAAATATTGAACGTCTTTTAAATCTTCTTCATGCTCTATTGGTGATTTTACAAGACATAATAATTGATCTAATACAGTGACTTACTCTATACCCCCAAAATATCGGCTATTGCGTATTATATCATAACCTTAAGAATTCATGCGATTTCATTGGTCGAGAGCCATGATCTATTAGAGGACAGACACACGGAATTACGTCATAAGCTTTTAAAATGTTTGAAAATTCCACTGAATTTATACAAATTGAATGAACTATGCAATTAAATCTATAAGCAACAATAAATACCTTCGATTAATGTGCAAAAATCACTCACAAAAGCTAGCAACTCGGCAAATCTCAACTCAGCCATTCAGCTGCGACTTCAAAATCCAATCCGGTCATCGAAAACAAATACTATTTCGGTCATTTGACCCTGTCGATGTTACAGTTTCCAGCTGGTTTCTTCACTTCGTGCACATAGACAATGTTTAAGTGCTTTTCAACTACCATAGTCTCTCAGAACAAAATAATTGCCTTTTTATCACATGTTTTTATCTCTTTAAAACAATGCTTTTTCACTGTTTTGATACATTTTTAGTTTTTCCTTAGTTATTACCGCCTAGCCCATTCTAAGCTTTAGCCAATCAGAATTCAGCACGTGACTTAGCGAACCGATAGCATTTCGTTATTTGTATAGATCATGTACGCGTGATATTTGCAAATTTTCGACTTCCAAATGTTTGGGGGGATAAAAATAAACTGTTTACCTGTTTAATTCGGGAATTTTTAATTTTATTATATCAAACAAATAGATCACATTTTCCCGTTGTCTGTTCAGTTATAGATACACAGTATGACGTCATATGTGGTAAGAACAAAAAGTGACCACTCGCCTAGGCGGCTCGTGGACACTTTTTTGTTCTTACGACATATGACGTCATACTGTGTATCTATAACAGAACAGACAACGAGAAAGTGTAATCTATTTGTTAATTGTGTTTAAGCCATGATAAATATTCTCGTGCATGTTATACTACACAGCTAATTACTAGACAGGCACCAGCCCCGGTTATCCTGAAAAGGAACTCTGTTCACATGACAGTATAAGCTCACAAATTCCTACAGGCTATTCCAATCTATAAAACCATTGAAGCACAATTGATGAGTTTAGTATGTATAAATCCTGTAGTAAAAAGAGGCAAAATGCTTATATCTCGGTCCAATTCCGCCTCTGAAATTTAAAACAAACGTCGTATAATATTTCACTTTTGCGATATCTTGGTTACATGTTAATAACTATACTGACCGAGAGTGAGGGCAGTACGGGAAAATATCCAACCGAGGACTTGCTGTATTGAGCGAGCGATAGCGAGGTCAATACAGCAAGACCGAGATTGGATATTTTTCGTACTGCCCGAACGGTTGGGGGTAGGTATTTTTCGAGTTAAGCCCTTCGAGTTAAGCCTTTCGAGTTAAGCCCTTTTCGAGTTCAGCTCCTGCCAATTAACTCCAAGTCAATTAACGATTTAAGCATTCGAGTTAAGCCCCGATATTTGGTGGATGTAAACAAGTGACGTGTGTATACTCGCAAAAATGTTGGCAAATAAGGAGGGATTTATTAGTTTCAGCAATTTTAAGAAATATATTTTACCAAGATCTCTGTTGCTTTGCCTACAGTTCCACTAGGCCTTCTATTTATTCACTTGCATCAGGCTTGCGGCCTTCCTCCACCCCGCCCGCAAATCACCTAGTCCCATTCTTCTCATGTGAAAAAGCGCTGAATATTAAAAAAATATAAATAAAAATAGAAGGCCTAGGTCTAGGCTGATATTTGCTATATGTTCGTATTTTCATTCAGTTTCTCTAGGGAAATTTTATTTTACATTTGTGTTTAAAATACCTTTCCGCCATTTTGTTTTTTTGAGAAAATCATTAATTGTACTGCTGTACAATTAATGAAATAATTGATGAAATAATTGTATAATTGAAATAATTAATGAAACAATTGTACTCCTCTCAACCAATCAGCATCTAGTAATGTTGTCATGCTAATAATAAACCTTGTAATTACGACTCTCGCTAACAAAAAACATATTGAGAAAGTTCTTAAACCACAGTAGCCGGCTCCTTTTCTGTATTTTAGGTTTACTTTTCTTCCGCGTTTTGAATAGTTTG